GACATATCTTACATGATGTTTGGAATATCAAAGTTGGATAAAGAATGATTATTCAAATATCATGTAGAGTGACGAATCAACCTTTTCACAATTTTAATAAGCTGTTATAGTTGAATATAGCGTAAACCTCATGAAAAATGAAATATTTCTTATGTTCTGCTATAGTAAAACATAGCCCTAGCTGGATGTTTTGGAGCTGCTTTTTGAAATAAGACTTAGGATTGATTATTCCATTAATAGGAACAGTCACTAGTATTACACATGTTATCATTCTTTGCAAATGTGTCATGTTAACTTTAAGACGTATATTTTTAAACCATGATGGTATATTCTAAGAGAATAATACTCACCTTCACAAAATGAAACTTGTAAAGAAGTTTCATATAGAAAATGGTTTACACATGCTTCTATGGCCTACTCAAAATCTAGATCTCAATCCTATTGAGAATCTATGGGCTGAAGTTATATGAAAGAAAAAATTTGCCTTTCAACCTTGCTTAACTTGAATGATATATTATAAGGGCATAGGATCAAATTCTAATAAAAACTATTGAAAATTTGGTTAATAGTATGCTGCAGCGAATTCAGGCTATAATTAAAGCAAATAGAGATCTGACTAAGTACTAATTATTTAGTACTAAATTTGTAGTATATCATTCTTTAATAAATATATTAATAAATCTTCTTTAATAAAACTTAAAAAATTTAAGTTTTATATTGAGCCAAAAAGTGTTTAGAGACTTTTAATAAAGATCTATATATTAAACTATATTTTACATATAATTATTATATTAATAAAATTAATATTTAATATTTTATTAAAAAAAAATCCCATTTTTTAAGTTCACAGGCAAATTTGCTTACTAGATAATTTAAGGAATAAGCTTTTTATTATAATTATTAACTATTATATAATAAAAAATATATTAATATTATTTATTATCCCTTAATTTGTAAATATAAAAATTGTTTTTAAAACATTTTAATAAACTTAAAATATTTTATTATCTAATAATTATAAAAAGATAAAATAAAATTTTTAGGTTTATCATATAATATATCTAATAATAGTATTTTTAATTTTTTAAAATTTATAATTATTAATATATATTAATTTTAATTTTTAAAAATAATTTATTATCTAATAATTACAAAAATATAATAATTCTTTTCAGCAATCAATTGATTAAGAATTTTTATGTAAAAATATGTATGTTTAAAAGTAATCATAGCAAAGCTTATGAATAAAAAATAAAACTTACTTTTTAGACTTCTTTCTCTTTTTGTTTTTCTTAAACTCTCTCATTTTAAAAACAGTTTTTATTAGTCTAAATAGGCATATTATTTGTTAAAATATTTTTTTTTACCACTTCTCATAGCTGTTTTTCTGTTTTTCTTCTTTTTCTTTTTACTCACAAAAGTGAATATCAAAAGTATCCCAATGATGATAGGATTAATAACAAAACAACTTTGGATCAACTAATTGCATGTGATGATTTTCCTATTACTTTCCTAAACAAGCACGCTTTTCTAAATCTCTGATTTCATAAAACCTGCTAATTTTAACAAAAATTTTCAGTTTTTTATAACTGTATAATTTGGACTCTGTACAATGTCTACTAGTAGCTATAATCTGAATTGACAAACGTTTTAACATAAAAGTTTGAGAATACTGAAAAGCCTCTAACAGAACTTAGTGATATGAACGCTTCTGTACTGAAAGGTCACTATAACTAAAAATTAACCAGATAACTTAGCTAAGGATTTGTTAGAATCAGATTTTTTTATTAACTTCTTTTTTGGTTTAACAATATTTCAAGTTACTTGTTTTTGTATTGAATTAAATTTAGAATAGAAATTATTGTCAGGTAAAAAAGAGATACATAGTAATAATCTAATTATTATATATTAATTAATAATTATCTCTAAATATAACAGAATGATTGGTTGGTCTGAGGTTAGTAAGTTTTTAACTTGCAAAGATGTTTTAGGCAGTTCAATTTATTTTTTTTTACTTTTGTACTTAGTTTTAGGATTTTTATGTATTAACCTACTGGATTTGAACTTTCATAATAAATATGAGCATTATCACATCTTTGAAAAATATAATTACAAAAATATAAAATTTAGTTTATTGGAATTATTACATTAAGACCTATTAAATGTTAATATTTTTATATTTCTTAAATTAATAGATAGCAAGATTAAGTTGAATTATAGTCAATTTTTCAAAAAATAAACAAAATATAAACTGATTTTTTTCTTATTATAATAAAAACATGCCTCTAACTATCAAAATTAAACAAAACTTAAGTTAAATTTTAGTTAATTTTTCAAAAAAATAAATAAAAAATAAACTGATTTTTTTACTTTTTATATAGAAATATACCTCTAACTATTAAAATCAGATGAAACTTAAATTAATTTTTAATAGAAAAAAAATAATTTCAAGTAATTTAATAAGAAAGAGTAGATTTTTTATTTTTTATTACATTTTTAAATAATTTTAAAGGATTTTTAAAAAGAAAATAGATCATATTAATATTTATATTTTTTATTTTCAAAAATGAAAATATTATAATAATGAATATTTAGAATGATTTAAGGGGATTTTAAAAGGAAAATAAATTATATTTTTATTATTTTACATAGTTTTTCCATTTTTTTGCTTATATTTTTAAAATAGGAAATTAATCATTAAGATTTTAGTAATATCTTTATTATATTATTTATAAATTATATTAGATTTTTATTATTAATAAAATTTTAATATTTAATATATAATATTATATACTTATTTAATCGAATTAATATTAAATTGAAATTAAAATTAGGCTAATTTATAGTTGTTTAAATTCTGAATTAATACCAAATTGAGACCAATTTTAGACTGATTTATGGTTGTTTAAGTTCTAAATTGATGCTAAAATGATGTTAATTTTAGGCTGATTTATAGTTAAATTTAAGTTCTAAATTAATGCTAAATGGTTATGTTTAATTGAAGTTAATTGATATCTTCAACATATATTTACACTAATTAGAAAATATAGCAAATCAGCCATAAATAGTATCAAAATCAGCCTAAAATCAGCCATCTAATTTCTAGTCAATTTAGACTATTTTGACTAGTGTTATTCTAAAATAATGCTTATTATTAAGTTTATCATAAGCCATATGAAAATTTAATATAAACTGTTTAATTTTATATTAAAATTAGAAAATTATGATATTATGGTATAGAGATATTTTGTAAAAGATAAACTTAATCTCTTAATTTAAGTTTCTAGTAAAATTACAGGTTTTATATATATTAATATACTTTTTTTACTATTTTATAATAGTTTTAAATAAAAATAATTATAATATATTTTTCAGGAAAACAATGTTTTAGTTTATAGAATAAGTGCAGTTAATCAATAAAAAGAAAATATTTTAAGATTAAGTCTTCTATAGTCTGCATAAAACCTAAATCTTAATATGATTAAATATTTATAGAATATTTTAGAAAGAAAAATTCAAGTATACAAATCTCATTCAAAAAAATATTAGGAAATTAATTATAAGTTTAAAAGAAAAATAAAATTAAATTGAAATAAAATTTTAGTAAAATTAGTTAAAAATATACTATGAAGGGTTCAAGTTATAATAGATAGTTGTGACAAACTAACTAGATACTAATTATAATACTCTGTAAGGGTTATATCAGATTAGGATTTAAAGCATATTTAAACTCAAATCTATTAATAATTACAGAACTTATATTTGAATTAATCTGATCATTATTTAACATAACTTAATTAATATTTAACCTGAAATAACCTAAACTGACTTAAATTTCAAGGATAATATTAATTAAAATAAAAAAGTGTTATATATAAAGTTTATTTTATTTTAAAATTATTTATTTTCTTTTATTTGTTGACATTAATTTCTAACTATTATGACTAAATGTGACTATTCAGTTTTATGTAACCAGTATTAGTAATAGACATATTCATTGATATAATAATCAACAATAGACACTTTTTCATTGTATCTATTGCATTATCTATTGTGTTCATTGTATTCATTGTGATTGATATATTACAAATCTCGATTAAACTTGAATGGAAAGAGTCAGAATATAAAAGGATATAAAATTGCAAAATTATCAATAAAATCTCATTTCAAAGCATAATAACATATGCAGGAGAAAAAGCGTCACATCTATTAATTCTATGGTTTGAAGTATTTCATAATAAAAAAGCAAATAAAAATAATAAGAAAGCTCTTTGTTTATCTTGTATTAGATATTTAAGACAAGACTTCTTATTAAAAAATGAAAATAATAAAATTACAAATATTCAATATTATTGTTACAAACATCTTCAAACTTGTTAAAATTTTTTGACTAAGCATAGACTAAATGAAGTTAATAGAATTTAAGCATTATCAAAATTTAATATAATAACAATAATTAAGAAATAATAGTTTATTAGTAATTTTAAATTAAAATTTTATTTAATTAATGTTAAATAAATTAAATTAATTTATTTATTTATTTTAATTAAAAATTAATGATGAATCTAAAATTTAAATAAAAAACTATATCGTCAGCTATAAAATTGCAATATAACTAAACTCAAATTATATAATATGTTGGAAGACTGTTAATTACAGTAGAAATTCTAATATTTGAAAAAAAAATTAATTTATATAACTGTATCTAATGGATTTTCTTTTGTTAGATTGATAATTATGAAACCTAAAATCATTTTAAGTTTATTTCACTTTTTTAGTATTACCTGATCGTTATACTTTTGCTGGTCAGATTTTAAATGCAACAACTAATGATGTTCAATCAAATATCCAAAGTCTTATTTTAAATGATAAAATTGAAATAATTATAACTTTTAGATGATTGAAAATATAGTAGAATAAGAGATTATGGATATAATTTTAATTACTTCAAATGGCTCTATTCTTATATAAGATGCAGAAAATATAAGTGAAGAATATCAATGTGCAGAAAAAGTAATTAAACGAATAGAATTATTTATGAAAGAGCAATATCGCAAAATATTTAAATAAATGCATTAGTGACAAATTCTGTTGGAGATTATACATCTGCTAAGTATTTTATAAATTTTTATTAAAACAAATTTAATTTTTTTTATAAATTTTAATTAAATGTTATTTATTAACAGGTGTTAAATAAAACTTGTTTATCGCAAAATAGTATTTTTACCATATTTTGCACATCAAACTAATTGTTATATTGGAAAATTTTTTAAAGAATTTTAAATATTTAAAACTACTTCTAATTACATCATCTGCTTGTTGATTTTTTCATTTATCAATTTATTTTACTCAAAAACTTCATGATGAACAATTAAAGCTTTATAAAAAATTATTGCTCTTATAAGTCCATGTTCAACACATTAGAATAGTTATTTTAATGCTTTTAATTTTCTTTTAAAGATAAAAGATACACTTATTGTAGGTTATCATTTATTTATTAATATTTTTTATTTTTAAATAATTTATTAATTTATAAATATTTTTTAGACATTAGTAACAGTTAATTTTTATGCTAATAAAGAAGAACTTTGTTTACCATATTTCTACTTTTATTAATAATATTACTTTTTAGACAAATTTAGAAAAACTTATTCTTTTATATTCTTATTGTGAAATTTAAAATATTATGCAATAAGACAAGATACATCTTTATTAAGTAACACTCTTTTTTAGTTATATTATAAATATAATGAAACAATAAATACCAATTTATTTTTGTAATTGAATAGTTAATGTTTTGAATTATGTTAGGCTGGCTGGAAATAACCATTATTAATACTTTCTTTAGCTTTTCATCTAAAATATCAATTAGAAATATTTTTATCTACTATTAAAAACTTAATATATTCATATATTGGTCATTAGTTAATATATTATTATAAATCTTGGTTTAAAAAATATTCAACAACTATTCTTTAAGAACTTGAAAAATTTAAAAAAATAAAAATATCCATTTTATAATGAAACATTTAAACTATTTAATGATATTATAGAATGGTGAGAAAGTTTGATGTAACTTCAGAGTTAAGTATATTTTCTAGTCATTTATTTGAAATATATATTAATACTGCATTCTGTGAAAGATTATTTTCTATAATAGGATTTTTACATTTTAAGAGACGTAATCAATTACAAGTAAGTTAAATTAATTACAGTATTATATTTTATAAGTAATTTATATTTTATTTATTTATTTTTATTTTATTTAGTATAAAAAAGTTTTAGTGATAAGCTAGTTATGAACTGAAATTATTAAATAACATAAATCTAAAAATATTACAAAGAAACAAAAGAATCATTTATAGAAGTATGTGATAAAGATGCTTCAACTCTTAATGATAAATTGGAAATTGATAAAGAAATACTTAATGATAGTAATGATGATTTACTAATATTAAATAAAACATAATGATCAGGAGTAATTGAAAAATGGGCTAATTTATTGAATAATGAAAATTTAGAAGAAGAAATTAATATTAAAAGAGTTAAAAGTAAAAGTTCAGATGATGATGATAAAATTTTATTAGAATATTTAAAAGTGAAATAGAAATTAGAAAATTTGTTTATTTATAATTTAGATATTTCATTTAAAGAATAATATCATATATAATTCGATTTTTTTGATAAATTTAAATAAATAAAATTAATGTTTTTTAATAAATTTTAATTTTTTTTATTAATTTTATATTTATAAATTTAAGTAAATACAATAGACAACAATAGATACTAATATTATATATCTATTGCTTAATCAATGAATAATAGAAAGCATTTTTTATATAGTATTGTCTATTGTCTATTATCCAGTCATAACAACACTGTATGTAACTATATAATTTAATTAAATTAATAAATATATAAATTTTATAATATATCATTAAATACATATCTTTTACTAAAGAAGAATATCTTGATTTTATGTTGCTCAAGATACATTTAAATATAATTTCACTTTATTTTATTTAATAATTTGTTTTACTAAAAATATAATTTAAAATTACATTACTTTCATCAATATTTTTAACTTCTAAGTTATAGATGTATATTTTGTATTGTAAATATTAAGAATAATTTCTTTAGCATAACAAATAAAACTTTGATTTTATTTTTATTATCATAATAATTAAGGTTTAATCATAAATCAAGTATTATATAAAATTAATTAATTATTATATTGAAATAAAAATATATCAAGTACCAATTATGTCATATGTTAATCATAGCAAATGATATTAGATATTAATTAATTAAATGACATAATTTTATATGTTTTTTTGTTACTTTTTAATTTTATGTATAATAAATTACTAATATTTTTAAATTTCTGTCTTATACAAATTGTTTATTCACTTTTCAAAGACATTTTATAAGTTTTAAAAGTTAGATGATTTGATAGATTTAAGAAAATTTCTTCAAACAAATTATTTATTATATGTTAATTTTAATATGTAAAAGTATTAAAAATAATTTATTAACTTAAAGTTTATAATTTTAATCAATAGTTTTCAAATAAAAGTTTTATTTTTAGTTTTTAGATCAGTTTTTAGATATTAAAATGAATTTCTAAAGTGAAGGTATTAATTATTTTTTTTTATTAAAATAATTATAATATTATAAATAAAAAAAATTTTCTTTAGATAATCTAATATTACTTTAAATAAATAAATCTTTTTTTTTTATCAATAATAATAAGATTTTAATAAAAACAACTGTTTTTTTAAATTTTAAAATAACAGAAAATATTGCTAATATTTAATTTATTTCTAAAAATCTTCAAGATATTAATACTTTTTTTCTAAATATGAAAAAGATTTTACTTTTTGAAAGATAATAATTCATTTGAAACAGCTTATTTATTATTATAAGATTCAACCAATAATAGTAAAAATATAATAGTAGTAAAGAATTAGAAAATAATTAGCAATTTTATCAATTAATGCAGAAAGTATAGAAATATAAAATAAAATAAAATATAAGTATATTATAAATAATAAAAATAAACAATTTGCTTTATCTACTTATATAATAATAAATATTTATTAATACAAAGATAAGATATTGTGAAAAAAAAGAAAATTTACGTGAATTATCGCAATTAACTAAAATGTAGTAATTAGATAAATTAATAATTGAAGAAGTGAAAAAATTTAGATTAGAAGTTTGTTATAGTCATTTCATACTTGATTAAAATTAATTATATTCAAAGAGTATTAAATAATTAAAAGATATTTCAAGAAATTTAATACATCTTAAATATTATCTATATTATAAAATTAATTATTACTTTTTTATTCATAGTAAATTTTGTGTAGATTATTCTTAAAACTTAACAGAAAAATATATATAAGTTTTTGTATAGGTCAAAAAATTGTAAAGTAATAGAAGAAATTAATTCTATTATATTTCAAGTATATTTAAATTATAAAATACAATATTAAAGATGGCGTTGCAACATTGTGACGCTTATTTGTCACCTGTTGTAACTTAAATTTTAATAATGTTGCAATTCGTTGCAACATTGTGATGCTTATTTGTCACCTATTGCAACTAATTGAGGCGCCATCTTTATCCTGTATGCTTTTGATGTATATCTATTTGTTTTCAAACATCATCTGAAGTATCTCCTATTATTTTCTGAATACATGTTGATTCAAGATAAATTTCTAAATGACAATGCTCTTCATTAATTTTGAGTAAAAATAAATGTTGTGTACCATTATAACGTGTAATAAATGAAGAAGTAAATCCTGCTCCAGCTTCGTAATATCCATTTTCATTTTTGATGAACTATCATCAAGATTTGTTATTATAACTAAAAATTTTTCGACACGAAGAAATAATGGAAAAAATGAAACATTAGCAATTAATTTTTGAATTATATTTTCACTTTCAAGTCCCATAACTGCCAAGCCTGAATATTCTGTTTTTGTGCTAAAGACTTTCTGATAACACGCTTTAATTGCTGTAGATAGATATGATTCAACTTCACTTTTAATATTTTCACATGTACATTGAAAACCTAGTTTCAGAAAATCTTTATCATTGGAAGTAATTGTAATAACAAACTCTTTGCCATTAAGCACACAACTAACACGCATGAATAGACGATAGGATACCATGAAAAGCCTAGTATCTGTAGCTGACTTAATATTAACAGTTTCCTACCAATTTTGAGTATAAATTCCATAGTGTAACTATAAATCTATAATACCTACACTTAAAAGGTTTGGTGTAAACTGGCATTTTTTTGACATTTATAAGGCTAACTTAGTAAAAAACTTCACATTTAGAAACATACTTTTTTAATAATTAACTACCCATTATGCTTTTATTAGTAAATGTAGATCATTTTGTCTGTGTGATTTACAGATCGGCAATTAATAATATTTTTTAAGTAAAAATTCAAAAATAAATGTAATTAATTAGTGATATTTTAAGATAAATATATAAAAAAAAGTTAAAATTTTAAACTTATATATTTTGCTATCTATTGATCTTAGAAATATGAAAATATAATTATTTAATAGGTCTTAATGAGATGAATATAATAAACTAAATTTTATTTTTTTGTAATATTTTTTAAAAATGCGATAATGTTCAAATTTATTATGAAAAATTTAACTCTAGTAAATTAATATATAAGAATCCTAAAACTAGATAAAAAGTAGAAAAAAATAAACTGAATTGCTTAAAACGTCTTTGCAGATTAAGAAACTTACTAGCCTTAGACCAACTGGTCATTTTGTTATATTCAGAAGATAATTATTAATAGAGTCCTCCTTAATGCATAATAACTAAATTATTACTACGTCCCTCTTTTTTCCCTAATAATAATTCCTATCCTAAATTTAAATTCAATATAAAATAAGTAACTCAAATTATTGTTAAATTAGAAAAGAAGCTAATAAAAAAAATCTGACTCTAACAAGTTTTTAACTAAATTACCTGATTAATTTCTAATTATAGTAATCTTCTGAAATAGAAGTGCGTATTAGAGGTATATTTCGAATCTGATCAATCTGAATATCCAGTCATCCATCTGAAATTTGACCAGATTCAGATTAATTCGTTTATATCACTGGATTGACCGGATGGATCATTGGATATTCAGTGAACAAATTGGACAATCAATTCGACTTAGGTAAGCATAAATTTTTTTTTTATTTTATTTTTTTTTTACAATAACGATAATATTAAATCTACGTATTATATCACTTACTCACACACACACACGTATACATACACATATATAACACATACACATACACACTCACTCACTCACTCACTCACTCTTTTTCTCCCTCTCTCCTCCTGGACCTTTTACTCCAAATTTTGACTTGAACAGCTTGAATTCAAATGATAAGTACAAAATTCTTTCTTTTTTTGTCTTAGAAATATTACTAACTTTCATTTTACTTCTTTTCTTTAGGAAACGCCTTTCTGGATCTGAATTTTGGCTTAGACTATGAAGGTAAGTGGTGTGGAGAATTGTTTTTATTTACTCTTTGTCTTTGAAACACCATTAACATTTTTTTTGCTGCTTTTCTTGTGGAATTTTTTGTTTTTCTTTATCTTGAAACACTATTAATGTTCCTTTTGCTTCTTTTCTTTAGAGAACGCCTTCCTGGACTTGGATTTCAGCTTAGGTTATGAAGGTAAGGTAGTGTGGGATTTTTATTTTTCTTTGTCTTTGGAATGCTATTAATATTCCTTTTGCTTCTTTTCTTTAGGAGACGCTACC